TTATAAAGTTGTTGATGTAGATTCAGATCTTCTGTCTTGATCAAAATTGTTGGCCCAGTCTTTCACCATGTTGCTTCTCGTTGTTGCTGATGTTTGCCTCAAAAAACACCTGCATTTTTTGATGTAGAATGAGGTTTTGACTGTCCATGTTATTTCTTTTGAGCACACATACTGTGTTTGTTCTTGATTTTGATTGAGGTGTTGTTTGTTGATGTCAAGTTTTGAACAAAAATGACATATTGCAGATTCTCATCCATCTAGCTTGAGTCATGTGGCTTGAACCAAAACCATATTGGATCCTTATTTTGCTACTTGATGTCTATTTTTGAACCTATAGATGTTGTTGTTTTTTTAAGAATGATTTTCTGTTATTGTCTATTTTTGGATCGAGATGTTGCTTTTCGATGTTGACCAAAATCCATATTGGATGTCTTGTCTTACAATTTTTCGATGTCAATGATCACCCATCGGATTGGTGTACTTTTTGCTATTTGGATTGAGGTTTTGATTACCCATGTAATTTCTTGAACATATATTGTTGTTGCATTTTCCTTAAGATTTAGATGTCGCTTGTCCATGTTGAGTTTTGGACCAAATCAGTTTTTTCTATGTAGATGTTCAACAGATATCTTCTGTTGATATTTCTGATGTAGCTTGAGATGTTGTTTGTGGATGTTGGTTTTTGAACAAACCTCTTTGGAAAGTGTTTTTCCAAGTTAGATGGAGATCTTCTTTTGGGTTTTTTCAAACAAAATTCATGTTTGAGATTGCGATGTTGATTTTGGAAATTGATTTTCTCCAAATACAATTTCGCATTGGGCTTTGTTGATTTTTCTTCAGTCAAATTTGAAATCTTGGTTTTCGATGCTGAAAGCGAACCAAAATTCCATATTAGTAGTTTTCTTTTCGATTTAGAAATTGCAATGTTGAATATTTATGTCACTTTTTGCCAAATCATATTGAGTTGTTTTTTCCGATTTAGATATCAATGTTGACTTTGGATATGGGTTTCTGGACCGATATGTTAATATCTTTTTCAGTCAAATTTGAGATCTTGGTTTTCGATGCTGAAAGCGAACCAAAATTCCATATTAGTAGTTTTCTTTTCGATTTAGAAATTGCAATGTTGAAATTTTATGTCACTTTTTGCCAAATCATATTGAGTATTTTTGTTCGATTTAGATATCAATGTTGACTTTGGATATGGGTTTTTGGACCGATATTTTATTATTTTTTCTTCAGTCAAATTTGAGATCTTGGTTTTCAATGCTGAAAGCGAACTTTTCTTTTCGATTTAGAAATTGCAATGTTGAATATTTATGTCACTTTTTGCCAAATCATATTGAGTTTTTTTTTCGATTTAGATATCAATGTTGACTTTGGATATGGGTTTTTGGACCGATATTTTATTATTTTTTCTTCAGTCAAATTTGAGATCTTGGTTTTCGATGCTGAAAGCGAGACCTCAATTTAATTTAGTCACCGTTAGGGCCGTTACGGAAAAAAAAGGTGGCGGGATTTGAAATCCCGTGGTGGTGGGATGCCACTGGTGGTGGGATGCCACTGGTGGTGGGATGCCACTGGTGGCGGGATTTGAAATCCCGTGGTGGTGGGATGCCACTGGTGGTGGGATGCCACTGGTGGTGGGATGCCACTGGTGGCGGGATTTGAAATCCCGTGGTGGTGGGGGTGCCACTGGTGATGGGACGCATGCCACGTTTATATATATATATATGCCACATATGCCACAGGTGGTGTGACATGTTTTTGATTTTCAATGCTTTATTCATTGTCCATTTTCATTTTGTTTTTTTTTCATTTTCATTTTTCATTTTCAATGCTTTCTGCAGCTGATCTCTCACTGAGGCTTTTCAGCAACTTTAACAACCCTTTGCAGTGGAAGTGAAGCGGGGGAGCTCAGCTAAGATGCTAGATAAAAAAAACACATTTTTTCAATATTTTTTGAGCTGAAAGTGCATAGTCAAAGTCATTAACATGCAAAAAAATGGTTTCACCAGTGAAGGATTTAAAAAACATCCATCAAACGAAGATCTGTGCTGAGACACCATTCGGGGCCCGACAGTTGTCTCAGCATCCTCCAGGGTAGGTCCTGGACCATCCTCTCAGCGTTCGGTGCCGGTACCGAGCGCTGAGAGAACGTCGGGCGCCCGACGCTGTCTCAGTGCTACTCGTCGCCGATTTTTTCAAGTTTAGAAGTTCCCCAGTACTGGAGTACCTTCTCAGTGCTGGGAGATTGTGTTTCATCAAAACATATTTCAAGAGAATCATCTACTGCCAACATGGATGATAGTCAGAAAAAATATTTGCACATTATCAGCACATATGTTATGTAGATGAACTGCAACATCAAAAAGTACAATCAAACAAACATACATGTAGATGTCCCACAAGAAAATCTCGAAGACATTTTAAATCTAAATATTCCTTTTGTTACCAATAGACCCCAAAATATCATGAAATAAATATCTTCAATCTGCCCTTTGCATAGAGAGACCCATGCATTCTCACCTAATGATTCCCCACTGAGGTTTCTCACTTGGATCCACCCTGCAACTGGTGTGGAAGCTGAGCAGGGAGAGAGAAACAACTCGATGTAACTCGAATTGATGTAACCCGGTGTGCCATTGGTGTAACAGTGATTGTTGCCTGGGATGTTGACATGTCTTGCATGATGTTGCATGTGGATGGCAGTAGCTGCACCTTAGCAACTTTCGGTTCCAAACCAGTGATCCACAACGGAGTCATGGAGGAGGCTTTGGCTGGAATGCAGTTGGTGGCAGCTCCTGCTGCTTCTGTGCCAACTGTGCCTGCAGTGGCAGCTGCTAATGCTGCCCACATGGCTTACATCAAGGAATGTGTGGACAAGATTCAGTCCCATCCAGTGTTCCAAGGTGTGGATCGTCAGAGTCCTTTGACCTTGGCTCAGGGTGGCAAATTTGTCCCATTGGACTTTGGTGCGACACAAAAGACTTTGGCCAACAGTGCTTCGCAATCGGTTTCTGGAGGGGGCAACTTGTTTTGGATTGACTTGGGCCTTGATGCTGCGGTGAGCCACACTCCTGTGAAAACCCGCAAATGTCGTGAAATCGCTGATCGCTTTTTTGCACAGCCTCGCCATCTTTCTTCAGAAATCACAGTTGGGGTGCCAATGGCATGGGCAAATGCAAAAGGCAAGCAGAAGCCATCTCCTGGCTGTTTGAGGCGGGTGTCGCCTGCAGAGCCCATCCATGCCCTGCTGATGGCAGTTGCCCGTGATGTTGAAGCAGAAGAGTTGGAAAAACTTGATGGCTGGAAGGAGATTTTGCTTTCATGTCTGGTTACCTTTCAGATTGTGGAAACTGATGCAGTCTGCCATCATCTGAACACTCAGTTGCGTGAGAAGGCAGGCATAGAGCATGAGTTGATCAGGCACAGTGCACTGAGTCGGGTGCTCGATGTGACCAATTTCAGCCAAAGACTTCAGCGTGGTAGCAATGCTCCAAAGCAATCGAAGAAGGCTTCTTGGCCCAAAATGATCAGTGAAGCTTACAATGCTGACTTGGTCTTGTCGGAACTCAGCGAGAAGGTCACCGAGAGTTTCGTCGAGCGGGCCTTGGCAGTGAGCTCCAGGATGCTCAAGTCAAGCTACATTCTGGAAAAGCTCCTGTACCTTGATGACAACTACGGGGCATCTGGGCCATTGGATTCTGTGCACAAATTGCACGCTTTGCTGGGCAAGGTCGGATCGGGTGGGGGAATCAAGAAGATGGAGTGGCTGGTGGGCCTTCTGGTGGACCTTTTTGATCATCAGGCATTGGAGCAGGACAGCTGCACGAAAAGAGAGCTTTCTGGAGCCACTGGCAACAAGGGGCTGGCTGATGTCATTCTTTGCAAGCTGGATGTGAAGGAGGAGCTGTTCAGATGGGCCGAAACAGCTGGCATTGATTCAGCAGCCTTGCAAAAGATCAAGGAGGTTTCTTCCAGTTTGGAAGTGTTCCGCCAGCATTGTGGTCACTCTTGGATCCCTGCCAAGGTCCCCCCAGCCCCATGGCGTGCAAGTTTCTGCACATCAAGCGACCTTTTCCTCAACTTGATCGAAAGTGTTGTGTTCTCGGTCGACTTCGATGATTGCCTGCTGTCGTGGCTGCGCTCCAAGAAGAGCTTGGTGGATTGCCTGAAGACCAGTCCTTTGAGTGAAGCTTTGGAAGAGATTCAAAACAAAGTGGAGGAGTGATTGGGCCAACATGTTTGCTAAATATCTTTTGTTATCTAGAAAGATTCTGACTATAAAATGCAAACAAACATCATTGTGTTTTGACTTTGAACCATTTTGTTGTTCCACTAGGTGTAGCAAGGACCGATGTCAAACAAAACCTTAGCGAAACGGAGAGAACTTTGATGTTAGAAAGTATTTTACTCGAAGCTAGATGATGTTCCCATATTTATTGCATTTGAGTATCATGTCATACATGTGGCATGTGGTTATGTGGCATGTGGCATGTGGCATATAAGTTATGCTTGGTACTGTCAGTTTCTTCTGAATTGCCATTTGCAGATGGACTTGGCAGGAAGAAAAGGCAGAGGCTGGTGAGAAGCCAAAGCAAGATGAAGAACAAGATGCCTTGACTGCTTCAGAAGAGCATCAACCTGGTGAGGACAGGGTGAGGCATGACAGTTCATGATATATCTTAACTGGTAACATCATGAGTACTTAATGTCTTGTTACAGGTGCCGTGATGACGCTTATGATATGCATAGTAGGCAAGGGGTGCTGTGATGGCACCTACTATGCCATAGGCCTCTGTAGGTGTGGGTGCCGTGATGGCACCGATGCTCTTCAGTGCTGTGATGGCACCTACAGCCATTGGCTTCAGAAGTGGGTGCTGCGATGGCACCTACTTTGCCATTGCCCTCTGTAGGGGTGGGTGCCGTGATGGCACAGATGCTATTGGGTGCTGTGACAGCACCTATGCCAGTACCTTCTGTAGGCACCCATTGCCATGCACCCTTCCCTCCAGGAGAGCCAGCTCTTCGGCCTGCAGAGCGACAAGGACCTCATGCAGGTGATCCAAGATCTCAGCTCCAGTGGGATGCAGACCGACAAAGATGACCTGCAAAGGATCGAGCGCTCAATGGCACAGGCACGAACTTTGGTCAACACTTACGTTAGCCTGGCTCCTGAAACCTTGGACGACAACGAACTCAGGGAGGCCTTGGCCCAGAGTGCTGCTGGCTCTGCAAATGCAAGTGCTGAGAACAAAAGTCATGTGGTGATCTTTTATTCTCAAGCCAATGCAGGCGAAGCCACTGCGCAACCGCACTTGCGCATCCCTGGCCTTCGCAACCGCGGGAAGCATATGGCCCGCTTCTTGAGCCTGTGTCAAACCAGGCGCAACGCCAGTGGCGAGTTGGAAGCTGGCGACATCTATGTCCTCAACGACTGTGGAAAGGAGGGGAACCGCAGCTCATTGCTGGGTTCCTTCCACTACACACCTGAGGCAGATGAGCTGGGCCGGCTACAGAAAGCGCTCCCGATCAAGAACAAACACACCCGCCAATGGATGGTTTGCATGAGTGAGAGCTCAGTATGTGAGAAGTTGAACAAAGTCAGGGGCTTTGCATCTGTGAACCAAATCTCGCGCTTGTACTTGGTGAGCAAGTCTGTGCTCAGCCTCAATGAGCACCAACGCTTGTATACCCCTTCTGCTACCAACAGAGGCAACCTGTTGGGGCCCTTCGTGGCAGAGCCTGAGTCGTCAGAGAAGGTTTGGTCGCTTCAGGTCAAGGACAAACTTGTCCTTTTGGGAAAGCATGGAGCGCGAATCCCAGTTGGAGGAACAGCTGATGGAGATGCTGAAGATGAAGATGAAGACATGCCTGATGGAGATGCAGAGTCCCTCAACCTGAATGCCAAAAACCGGCCCAGAGACAAAAATGATGTTGAACCATTTTTGTTCCATGCAGAGCCGGTGCAAGTTCTGCAGGAGATCCTTCATGGTTTGGATGCTGTGGCTGTCATCAGTTTGGCAGGTGACGGCCGCCTTGCCGAGCTCTGCGTGGAGAAGAGGATTCCTTTCTTCGGGCTGGCCTTCACAGAGGAGCATGTGAAAGCCCTGCAGTTGAGGTTGGAAAAGAGGGTGTTCAAGCTCATGCAGGATGACAAAAGTCGACTCTACTCAGCAAATTTGAAGACCATTCTCTCCAAGAACTTGGGTGAGGTGGAAGAGAAGCAGCCTGAGAAGAAGCCGAAGAGAAAGCCAAGGCAGAAGAAGGTCAAGGCGGAGAAGGATACAGCTGCTGATGAGCAAGATCCAGATGAAGATGAAAATGAAGATCAAGAGGTGCAGCCCAGCCAGCCTAGCAAGCCCAAGCCCAAGCCCAAGGCGAAGGCCAATGGCAACGATGCTATCATGGCTGAGCTCCAGCAGTTGGCCCAAGGCTCCTTGAAAGGGTCAGGCTGAGGCTCTGCCAAAGAAGTGATGAAATAGCTTGTCCATTGTTGAGCGCACATGAAGAGATAAAGAAGCACTCTGCACAAGTGTTAAGTAGTGTTACGTAATGTTAAGTATAGTGTGTTATGTTGTTGATGAGAATGTGTGCTCACTATGACAGGCTTGCTGACTCTGAAAATGAGTCAACAGGGGGCCAAGTTGGGAAGGCCTATGTACCGAAATTCCAGACATTGTGTTGAGGGGAGGCATGGGTGCTCTTTTGGGAGGAAAGAACACACACTTCTTGTGATGGAACCCACAGTGAGTGAGACCCAAACATCTTAATGCAGTTAAACCCATGAACGTTGTTGGGACGAAAGATTGCTCATGCCACCCCACCCATCGCGATCACTGACATGTGCAAATTTTGAGCTTGGAAGCATGAACACAGCGCATGTCAAGCGCTTGTCAATGAAGTGTCAATGAAGTGTCAATGAAATGTAGATGTTGTTCATGCTCAAAGCCAACCAGCAAGGAGGTACAAACCTGGTACAATCTTCTTTTGAACCTCTGGAAGCCGCAGTGGATGGTGGCCTCCAGGGGATCCGACACAGCGCAGTCAGTGAGGTGGCCAAAAGTTCACTGGACCCCTTCTGTTTCGCATGGTTGCTTCACAAGTTTCAAGGTTCATTTTTTGTTCTTCCCAAGCCTCTGAGGTACTTTGGTTGCTTCCGCCCGCCGCCTGGGCGAGGTGCCTCAGCACTTTGCCTGGTTGCCTGTGAGTTTGGGGGCGAATGATATCTATCTTTCATTTCTTGATAATGGATGTTTTTACCTGTTTCACAATTTTATCACATGATATTGTATATGATAACTATACTAGATAGCCAAAAATTGTTTCACTAAGTTTTTGAGTTGTAATCCAATGAAACTATTCCCGGTTTCTTCTGGGCATCATGGACCTGCTTTCTCTGCAGCAGCATTTTACCTTCAAGGTGGCATGCCTAAGCGTCGCTCTATCGCACTGCAGCAGGAAGTCCTGCGAGTGGCCTCCGATTGCAGTGGCCTGAATGGTGCCGCTTTGGCCTTGGAGTCTTTGAATCTGCCATTCACAGAGGAGTGGGTGAGCGATGTAGAAGACGCAGCGAGAAAGGTGCTTAGAGCAAATTTTGCTTGCAAGCGCATCTATGAAGATGTGCGGACACCTGCACCGCGTGACATAGAAGTCGACTTCTACTCAGCTGGCTACCCTTGCCAGGCTTACAGCCAGCTCGGCAAGAAACAGGGCATGGCTTGCGAGAATGGCAAGGTCTTGCTCTACGTGCTGATGAGGATCTGCGTGGTCAAACCCCGAACTTTTCTGCTGGAAAATGTGAAGAATTTCCAGCAGTTCCAAAAGGAGTTTGATCTGACCATGAGGGTGCTCAAATCCATCAAGGACTTCTAGGGTTGTAGAAAACACATGCAGTTTTATATTATCATATATGATTATATATATATATATATATTTATTTATTTATAGTACTTTTTGAATATGATGAGCTTCAGTAGAAAGCCTCTAGGCCAATGTGTTAGGATAGTTTGGGTGATTCATGGAGGGTAGCAGATGGATGATGAAACGAGATGAAGTCACAAAACGAGATGAATTCTACTATCAAACATCTTCATGGTTTCTGGGTGCTGTGATGGTGCCCGATAACAGCAATTTAGGTGCTGAGATGGCACCCGGAAACATCAATGCTGTTACTAGGTGCTGTGATGGCACCCAGTAACAGCAATGCTACTTACTAGGTGCTGTGATGGCACCCAGTAACAGCAATGCTACTTACTGCAACCAGTAACAGCGTTGCATTTACTAGATGCTGCCAGCAGCCTGGCCAGGACCCAAATGGGAAGCGCTACCATCAGTGCTTGCAAGCAGCTGTCATCGATTCCCAGGACCATGGAGTTGCTCAGTCTCGAGCTCGCTTCTACATAGTGGGTGTGCACAATCCTGTGAGGGATTTCCTTTGGCCCCCCCTGCTCCCACAAAGAGCTTCTTTGAAGGCAGCCTTGGACCCTGGTCCTCCACAGCCTTCCTTTCCCACCGGCTCAACAGAACTCCGAAACTTGCTGGCATGCTTCAAGGCTTTGAAGAGCGAGAACAAGTCAGTGACATGTGAAGCTGTGGCGGACATTGGCATGAGTTCCTCTTGGCATCGAAACCAGATATGCCAAGGATATTGCCCTTGCTTGACCAAGTCCCGGTGCGAAAGCAAAGGTTATTGGGCACTCAGCAAAATGAGACCACTGAGCTTGACAGAATACTTCAGATTGCAAGGAATCCCTGCTCACAGGCTGAAGATCCCAGAAGGGGTTTCACAGAGACAGATGCGCGGCATGATTGGCAACTCATTCACTGTCCCAGTGATTGCCCAGATCATGGATAGGCTGTTCTTCAGCTCAGGGCTGACCAGTGAGCTGATCCAATGTACAGGCAGTGGTGTCAAGGGCATTGTTCTTTAAGCGCCTTCTCATGTCAATTGCAGAACACCACTGAGCACTTGTTCTCCAGTGCTGCGGACTTACTCTGCTCGGGGAAACGCAGAAATAAAAGACACACACAGGCTGTCCAGAGCATCACTCACTCAGTTCTATCAGTTAGTGTCATGCCATTGTCTTCATGACTTGCGTGGTGGTAATGCTAGTGATGATGATGAAGATGAGGAGGACGAGGACAATGACTACAAAGGTGTTGAAGATGACAATGATGTGAATGATGAAGATGGAATTGCTGATGGTGAAGATGACAATCACAATGTTGATGCGATGATGACAATGATGTTGATCATGATCATCATGATGATTAGGATGTTCGAACGCCAGTAAATTTCAGTTACTTTTGGGCTGAACTTGGGTGTGATGACTGTGTTCCCTGTGGGATCTAAGACAGAGTGTTGTTGGATTTTGCTGGTGGGTCTCGCATTGTTATATCGAGTTAAATTAAACCCTGTCCTCCGCAGTTGTTTTAGGGTCTCACTAATCTGGGCAGTCAATCCCTTCCGCTCCGAACCATGGACACCTACCACAAGTGTGATGTCCTCATCTCGAGACTCCGTCTCATGGTTGCCTCCAAGAAGAAGTTGAGTGTGGAGATGAAGCTGATCTTCAAAGAGCTGGTTCTACCCAGCCCTCTCAAGGTTGCAACACCACTGTCATGGACCCCCCATGACACAAGTGTCATGCTGATTGACAATGAGCCAGCCACAGTTTGTGTCGAGTTGGCGGACAACTTTGTCATCAGCTCAGCAATGAAGATGAGTATGGGAAACACTCCGCTCAAGATCGAGGTGCAGACCTGTGAGACCTTGAGAGATCTCAAGGGACATCATTAGGCTGATAAGAAGCCTTTGACGCTATGGAAGATTGTGTAGACCGCAGATTGAAACTGAACAGTTTCATCATCATAGGCTGTCAGGTTCCAAAGAAGCAGTGGTTATGAAATCGAGTTAAATGGCAAACCTCTCAGACCATCGCAGACCTTAAAGATGCTTAAAGTTAAAGAAACTCAGGGGATATCAAAAGCAACATAATTTTCTGAAACATACAACTTTTTATGTTTCAAAAGTTTTTGGAAAACCGAATTCACTGCTTCATGGACTCGACAGGGGGCTGAAGACCAGCTGGCCGCAATTGGGAGGAATCGCCGAGCTCCAAAAGGGTGAGCTGTAACAGCATAGATCTTTGTGAGTGCCAGTAAATGATATTTCTTGTGATTTCTTGTGAAAAACCCAATGAAAAAGTTTGCATCAAGCCTCTGTTTTCGGAGGTGTTCCTCGAAGGTGTTCCAGGCGGCGGCCTGGGGCATTTGGGACGGTTGGGATGGGTACTTAACCATCATGGGTGCTGTGATGGCACTACATCTGCTCAGTGCTCAGTTGCAGTGTGGGTGCTGTGATGGCACTACACTACAATATTCTATATATCACATATGTTTCTGCATGTGCTTCTGCATATGTATATACTCAGGTATTCCGATCTGTTTAACGTTTTCGCTTTTGGTACTCATCCGCAACATTTTCGCTTTTGGTACCCGCTCATCATGATATAGTTTTTGGTTCTGCAATCTTGTAGAGCAGTTCCCACCTCACTTCGGACTGAGCTTCTGACTGAGCTTAGGGCCTGGTCGGTTGAACTATGATGATGGCAATGATGAAGATGGCAATGATGATGGCAGGGTGCTGTGAATCTCTGATTGTGTAAGCTTCCTAGTTATCCATGTGTTTTTTGTTTTCTACCACCTACCGGTCTAACGATTTGTCTACCTTTCTACACTGTTCCATATATCTATCTACTTGTCTATCTATTTACCTGTCTACCTCTCTACCTATCGAAGTACCTATCATCTTAGACTATCTATCCATCTAACGATCTGTCTGCAAAACTAGGTATGCAGCTATCTATTCATCAATCCTGCTATCTGCCTGCCTGCCTGCCTGTCTGTCTGTCTTTCTATCTGTTTATCAATCTATCCATCCATCCATCTATCCATCCATCCATACAGCCATCCATCCCCTTATATTGCGGAAACAAAGACAAACAAGGGTCCAAGGTCATATCTGGTTGACTAGAAGCTGATAGATAGGTCCTCCCTTCTGCTGGTTTCTGTTGGACTCATCGTTGCAGATGCTGACATGTTGAACATGAGCAGCATCATGTTGAGCGACCTGTCCCTTTTTTCAAGCAGAGTTGGGAACTCAACTTGCCTGGCTCAGCAAAGGCAGTCGCTAGTTTCTTTGGCGTTGGGCTTTCTTTGCCTTTGAATTGCTGTACAATGATCTTAGGGTTCTTTTCAGCGGCCCACTCTTCTCCAAAACAGTTCCAACTTGATCTTCAACAAGTCTTCCGTAGTTCTGATAAGTTTTTTCGTCGTGGATTCTGGCATAAGCCATTCCCACTCCCATAGGGATTCCACTTGCCTTCAAGTCGTTCACCATTCTGTGACGTCCGCTGTGCGATCTGATGGCTTGGCGGTTTACAACTCCTAAACTGACAGGCGGATCAAAACTGCTGCGTGACTTGATAAGAGCATGGGCCACCACATCCTTCGTTTTGGGAACTTTGGAATTGTTTGTGGATGGGAACAAAAAGTCTTCTTGATGTTTGGGCCATTTCCAGCAGTCTTGAAAAGATTCTTGCCCTCGTGCTCCACATTGGCGTTGGCGTCTTCGGGAAATCCCCTTGTCCTTCAACTTTCGTAGAAATGGAAGTACTGATTTCAATTTTTTTTTTCGGACCTTCAGGGTTTGACCCAAGAACGCCAAACCCTTGTGAACACCAAAATATTCAAAACCCATGAGTCACATGCAAACAAAGACTAACTAACTGACATAACCCAACCTGTGGCTGACGCTTCAGTGCTCGGATTGTCACAAAAAGTTGCTTGAAGTCAAAGTCCTGCTTGCGCAGCCACAACACCTCAGTGATCCTGCAGCATAAGATGTGGGTGAGGGAAATCGCCACGAAGATCCACGTGGGGCCAGTGGAAAGGAGGTGTTTTGTCCAAGCGCTCCAAAGTTTGCCAGGTAGGCCAGCAGCCTGGCCACGCTTAGCCATGTTCGAGCGAGGTCGAGCCATGATGTGAGGTTCACAGAATAATTGTGAGGTTCAAAGGTTCTTTGAGCCAAAATGGCAGGTCGCTTTTTCCAGCTGGATTGCTTTGGCTAATGTTGTTGCATTTTTTTGTTTAACCAAACTCAAAGCTTGCCCGAATCAAGAAAACCAGCTGTTTTTCGTGACAAAATCCCGGAAAACGCCAAATCCCCTTTAGGCGACCTCCCGTAGCCCAAAGCATCTTGCAACCCCTGACCTTTCACACACCTCCACAAGCGACGTCCCGCCGCCCCTCCCCGATGCTGAGCGACCCAGCTTCTGCCTGCGTGCGCAGGCGCTCTTTCGAGCGGAGCGGGACCTCAGACGACTTGGGGGCTTGGGATTGTGACCTGTCCAAGTGGTGGTGGCTGTTGTAGTAGGTCTTACTGTAGTTGGGACGGGTGCCGTGATGGCACCTGTCCAAGTGGTAGTAGTATGTGTAGTAGTAAGGGTGCCATCACGGCACCTGTCCCGGACGGGTGCCATCACGGCACCTGTCCAAGTGGTGGTATGTGTTGTAGTAGGTCTTAGTTGGCATGGGTGGCGTGATGGCACCTGTTCCAGTGGTAGTAGTATGTGTAATATGTCTAGTTGGGATTGGTTCAGTGATGGCTCCTGCCCAAGTGCGCATACATATTATATATCATATTGATATGATATCTTTTATGTGACATACATGATGTACAACACATATATACTGTGTAGATAAAAAAAAATATACCCATGGAACCAGTTCCTTTGAGATGGGAGCATTAAGAAACACATTGCCTGCCCTGCCCCGAGGCCACTTCACCCCAAGTTGGGCCTCCAGACAATCGCAGGGGCATCTCAGAGAAAAGCCTCAGAGGGTCTCAGCATGTGGTGATGGTGATGATGATGACGATGATGATGATGATGACTATGATGACAACAATGATGATGACGAGGATGATGATGATGACAACTATGATTATGATGATGATGATGACGATGATGATGACTATGATGATGACTATGATGATGACTATGATGATGATGATGATGATTATGATGATGATGATGACATTGAAGATGATGATGATGATGATGATGATGATGATGGTGATAACAATGATGATGGTGATAACAATGATGATGATGATGATGATGATGATGATGATGATGATGATGATGATGGTGAAGGTGAATGTGATGGTGATCATGATGGTGGATTTTGAGTGATTGTGACAATGATGGTGATCATGATGCTGGATGTTGAGTGATTTGTGACAGTGATGGTGATGATTGTGATGATGGTGAGTCTGATGCCCCGGAGATTGTTGGCTCTCAGCTGGCAGACCATGGGGCATGGGGGAGTTCCAGTACATGACACGAGTCTGATGATGATGATGATGATGATGACGACCCAAATTGGCAATTTAAAACCCAAAAGAAAACAATGGTTGTTCCGTTAACCACCATTAAAATAATGGTCCTCTGACATGTGGTGAGCGGACAGTCAGCATAAGCACATCACCCAAGTTACAGACATGTGACACTTATAAGCACACCCCAGCGCAAAAACTTAGCATGTACAGCATAGATACAGCATACAAAAAACCTTTTGCCCTACCTTTAGATACAGCATAATTCAAAAAACCTTGCCCTAAGTTGTGCTCAGCCATGGAAAGGGGAAGATCTCCACAGAGGCCGAAGACCCCACCAAAGCCAGCACCAAAAAAAAGGCCGCCCCTTCCATCACCCCGGCCGAAAAGTGGGCTCCCACCCCCTCCGCCCAAGCAAGGCAGTGTGCAGGGGACAGGCATACAAAGCCGTTCTCCTGCGCCTATGACAACTCCCAAAGGGGGGGCGGGCCGCAAATGGCAAGCGGAGCCAGGATCAATGGACCAGCAGGC